AATGAAACATCATACCAAGTTTATTCAGTTGTAGGGTGAATGACTTACTGAGAGTCATCTAAGCATGGTTTGCTTCCCATGTTTGATTTCATGGTTATGATTTTTTGTCTTTTCTCTTGAATTTTGCAATCTGAATGACAAATTCTTTCTTATTCGGGAAGTGTTGTACAGTAAGCTAAAGTGATGTGCCGTATAATCTTTTACCACAGTTGATGCATGGAATCAATATGTTCGGCTGACCTAGAATATAGAAATTGTTTAAAGTGAAATGCTGTACTAAGGTTGTTTGGTTGCATGGAGTAACATGTCCACGTTTGCATGATTTTGAATTACTTTTATCTTTTTTTTATTTGGTTGAAGTTTTCCCATATAAATGGGATTCTTTTATATTTAGGAAAAGAAAAAAAAACTGTTGTAAGTTAAAGCTGAATTTTTTATCAGGTTGGTTGAAGTAGAATATCTAAACCTTTTGTTGTCATTAAATGCAATTTACTACTGTTGCATATGTGTGTTAAATTCTGTGATTTTTTGGAAACATTGTGTTACAAATTGTCAGGGGGGACCCAGACCAATGCTACTGCAAGGTCAAATCCTGCTGGCGATGCTAGGGCACCAGGTCTTGGTGGTCTTGGACTTCCGGTTATGCCGCCCATGTTAAATGGAATGCCTGACGCTTCTCAGTTGACTCAGTTGTTGCAAAACCCAGCTGTATCACAAATGATGCAGAACATAGCATCTAATCCCCAATATATGAATCAGGTACCGAGAAGAATCACTTCAGTCAAGAGATTTTCATTTTGTTTTTATCATTTTTGTTAAGAATCTGCTTTTACTTTTTAGATTATGAATTTGAACCCACAACTACGTGGAATGTTTGATTTGAATCCTCAATTAAGAGAAATGATGCAAAACCCGGAAGTACTTCGTCAGATGTTTTCCCCTGAGACAATGCAGGTATATTATATGCTGTCTGCATCTCTGAGTTCTCTCCTAATAAATGCCTAAATGCTTTCATGACTTTATGGTTTTGGATCTTTCTTTTTCTATAAGGTCACCTACCTGATGGTCTTCTAGGCATGTTAAGTCTGCCCTGCTGGATAGTATCAGATTATTGGATTTATTTTCAAGTACTGTTTTGACATTAAATGTACTTGTTTTCTTTTATTCCTTGCAGCAAATGCTAGCTCTACAGCAATCACTTCTGTCCCCGCTCAATCGACAGCAGTCAACACAGTAAGTCATAGTACCTCTGTCTATTCCAACAGTAACAAAAACGTCAATGGCCTTTTCAACTCTTGCGTTTTGAGGTTGTCCTTGGTACAATACATGCTGCTTTTAGAAACATCAGAATTCTTAATAGAGTCAAATTCTCTGTGCTTTTAAAATGGTAATGTGGTCCTAAGATGATTATATTTAATTTGTTGTTATGATTCATGGTTTAATGTTTACAACTTCTTGACTTTCTTGCAGGGATTCGGCACAGACTGGTGCAACTACAGGTATAGAATAAAAACAAGTCCAAACTGTATTTATAAATTCTCTCAACAAGGGGCACGAAGAGTACTTGAACTGTCCTTGGCTCTCTATAGTTTGCTTTGCCGCTTTCGTTTACCAGTGCTTCTTTCATTTCATCTTTATGCTTTACACTTTATTTTGTTTAACCTCATTTTCAGGTGCTCCAGGTACTGCTGGTCTGGAGTCATTGATGAATTTGTTTGGTGGTCTAGGTGCTGGTGGTCCGAGTGTTCCCAACCAACCTGATGGTTAGCATTCTTATATGTTTCTGCATTTTTATGAATCAGATTCGATACACTTTGGGGTCACCACTCACCACTAACTTTATCTTCTTTCGTTGCCAGTTCCACCAGAAGAACTGTATGCTACACAATTATCACAACTCCAAGAAATGGGTTTCTATGATACAGTAGAGAATATCAGAGCACTACGTGCTACCGCTGGAAATGTCCATGCTGCGGTTGAGAGGCTTCTGGGGAATCCCGGGCCGTAATTGCTCAATATAATGCTCTTAAATTTGAACAAGAACTCTCATGTAAGACGTGTAAGATTAGTTGATTTAGCCTGCTGCCTTGGCAAAACCTCAGATTATACCGATTCATTTTCGGGCATGTTTACGTAGTTTAATGAGCTAGTAAACACGATGATATACCCTGAGAACTTGATATTGGCCTCTATGCATTCTTGGATCTTGCCTATGTCCATAAGCCTTGGATTAATCTTTTTTATCACCTAATTTTTAAGAACTTGATGCTTGTAGCATTTTTAATTTATGTTCTCTGTTGTTTTCTTATTCTGTAGAATCTTACAGTAAATTTTACTCAAAAATCGAGTATGAAGTCGAACTGCGACTAGGCTATTCCAGCATTCGATTTTTGTTCAGCAGCCTGAAGACAAGGAAGAAGTTGGGTTATGAATCAATTAATCCAACTTGGCCCATGGATGTTTTCTTTGGTTAATCCCCAATTTGGCCACTACTGTTGAATCGTATTATTTAGTGTAAACTGCAAAATAATAGTCACTGTATTTTAAAGCATTTGCATTTTGGTTACTGAACTTCTAATACTTGCAATACAATCATTGGTTTTTCAATTCATCGTCATTATAATTATTATCGTTAAGGAATTTTGACGTGACATATTAAAGTTATCTTCTTCCATCAAAATTCCTAAGCTTCTCAACTAGGCAATTGTCAATCTCCTTTTTTTCAATGTTTTTCTAATCTTCGTTATCTCTTAATACAACACTTAGGGGCTGTTTGTTTACTTCAGAATGATTAAGCGTTGAATGATTCAAATGTTGAATGATTCAGAGGCTCTGAATGGTTTGGCTCTGAATGTGACATGCTGTTTGATAACTGACTCTGAATGATTCAGAATGTACTTCTATGCTGAATCATTCAGCACTGTTTTGCTGAATCAGACAGCACTTAATCATTCAGAGGTACGAAACAAACGCGTTGAATGCTGAACGTTTCAGCATTCAGCGCTGAATAATTCCATTAAGAGGCAAACAAACAGCCCCTTCCTATATTAAAATTTTCAATATCTACCAAACATCATCAAGAGAAGAAAGAATCAATCTGAATCTCATCTTAATCTTTAAGAATGGTGGTTGTTGATTTCAAGTTTGAGAAACTTAAGATTTTAGTGGGGGGAAATGACTTTGTTGTGTCAAGTCACTATTTCTTAACGATAGTCGACAGTAGTGATTGTAACGAAAGCGAATTAAAAGTTTAATGATTTTATTGTAAGTTTTGAAAGTTTGATAATCAAAATACAAGCATCCTAAACGTTAGGTAACTATTTTGTAATTTACCTTATTATTTATTTGGATTAGCAACAGTGGTAAACTTACGAGTTTCATCCGTGTACGGTGTGCCATTTTCAATTTGAAGATTTCTTAATTTGAATTACATCTCAGTGCCTCATAATTTGGACTGTCTTTTTTTTCTCCTTAAAATTTCACATTATCTGACCAATGTAATTTTTTAACAAAATATGAGACCCCCGATTTTTAGTAGTTATATAAATTCTGGTTATATCTGAACTTTATTCAAGTTGAACTCCTAATCAACTAATGGAATTTGTTAATGTTATTAACTTGGACTTAAACATAACATTAATAATAATGAGAGGATTGAATTATATTAAATTAAAATATAGAGACTGAATCCTGAATAACGAACAAGGATAAAACCATAATTTGACCTATTGACAATTGTTAGAAAGGTTTGGGGAATTTCAATAAATGCTCCAAAGATCAGGGGTGCCACGCAGAAAATTACGAAGACCCGTTAATGAAACTTGAAAAATAATTAAAAAAGCACAAGGACTAATCAGTAAATTGAACTACTTGGTTAGAGAGGCAAAGTTCCTTGCTTTTGAAACCTATCTTCTTTGTCTCTCTTATTTTCCATCTTTCTCCGCGTTTTCAATGACCTAAGGTAAATGTCTTATCCAATTTTTTTTTTTAATTCTTAATCTTCTTCACATCTCTCATTTATAGCAGTTCAATCTCCTTAATACCTGCCTTCTCGCTTTCATTCGTTTAGTAATTTTGTGTAGTTGTTTAGAATATGATCAACTTAAATAAATATTTCGATTTTTGTTCAAATTTCTGCATTTTGATTCAATGGGTAATATTCTCTCAATGCATTTTACAGAGTCCAAGTTGGAAATTTTGATTAATGCGTTAGATGGAACACCCAAGTCTCTGGGTCTTTTAAAATTTTGCAATCTGTAATGTGTTTTTTGTTGATATAGTTCAAAGGAAATTGAAAGAATGCTGTTGTTAGTGTGCATGCGTTTTTCTTCATATTTGATCCTTTGTTTTGGTCTGTTAGTTTCTGCTTTTGGTTTATGTAATCTACAATTCTGTCATTTATTTGTGAAAAAATTCTTTGTTAAATTGTCATTGTAATGCGAGGTTTGTTTCCTATTTCTATGAAAAGAAAGTTAAACCTAAATCGATGCAGAATTTAATGAATTTCAATTTTTAATTTGGTTTCAAGTTGTAGCCCCAGTACTGATACTTTGATCGATCGATCTGTTTAGTCATTAGTTTTAATTTGGATTCTTTTGTTATAACCACGGTCCTCTTACCAGAATCAAACATTATCAGATGGTTCAGCAAATGATAGACTCTAAATTCAGTGAATTCGGACTCGTGAATCCAGTGAATAACTCACCCGCTTGTGATAAGCAATGTCCAGTTGGTGCAAAGAAGACACCGTTGAGAGATCTCCAGAACGAAAATAGGGTTGTACCCGACTCCACGGGAAGCTCCCCATTTTCTAAAGATAGAGGAATTTGTATTGATCCTATCAAGGTCTCTGGAACTAAGAGAGCATCTCCTGAATGTCCTCTGAGCCCCTCACAATGCCAATCTCCGAGCAATACTGCTGCAAATGGACCCCTTGTCTATGTCCGGAGAAAATGTGAAACCGAATTAGCCAAAAGCAGTGCTTTTGATTGTACCGGCACAAGTAATTTCCAACAGATGAGGCAAGTTACACAACCGGAGGAAATTTACCTACTAAAATCCAAAATAAAGGAGTCGAAAGTTTCTTGTTCTCCAGCATTTGCACCACTTCCGATGGCATCCTTAACAAGTTCATCTGCCAAACCTTCAGTACCATTACCTCTTGGTAAATCTGCTACAAAATTAACACCCTTAGACTCCAATCAACTTCCAGTTGTTGCCACTACCCCTTTGTTCGATTGTCCGAAAGGAATTAGTGAACTTCATTGGGAAGAGCGATATTATCACTTGCAGATGCTACTGAAAAAGTTGGACCAATCCAATCTAGAGGATTATACCCAGAGTATGTCCATGTGATGAATCAATCTTTACCATATTCTACTCTTTCGGTTATAAAATTCTTACTATACTGTATGTCAAAAAAAAAATCTTATAATACTGATTTACAATCTATTCATTTTTTTCTTGTCAGTGCTTCGATGTTTTTCTGCAGTCAAACTCAGCAGACATGCTGTTGAGCTGGAAAAAAGATCAATTCAGCTCTCACTGGAGGAAGGTAATTCATCTCTGTGTGCGCTTCTTCTTCTTCTTTTCCAGCATTTAACATTATGCCTAAATTTATTCGGTTTTTACGAGTTCATTGTATGCCGTATTTCTAACATACCACCCTTTGCAACTGGGAAATGGTATGGTGTCTACAATCTTCGTTAGCTGTCATGATTTAGTATTTACGGGCTTGAATTCCTATGGTGCCATCCATTTCCTTTATTTGATCTTTCAGCATCTTTGACTATATTTATACATCATGGATCTGATATAATCTAATCTTTCCTTGTCCCCAGCGAAGGAGTTGCAGCGTGTCTCCATTTTAAACGCCCTCGGGAAAACTACGAAAATGGCTCCAGCACCCATCACTCAAACAGATCAGTCATGCAAATGAAAGGGGATCAAACTACAAGGTAGTAAGTGTGGTGAAAAGTTGTAGCCTATCTATAGAGTGAATGCACCAACTCAGTTCATCTTCTGTGTATTTTTCTTAGTAAAAGCTGTGGGAAATTATCAAATTATTGTGGTGAAATGATCCTCTTTATCTACTATTAAGCCTAATGCTTCCTGTTAAATTTCCATTGTTTTCTTTTTAACTTTTGGGATTAACTATATAGGGTTTGGCTAAATACAAATTGAAGATATATTTTTCGGAAATAATTTTCCCCAAAACAAAAGAAAGAAAGATTATTAGTATGAGACACACGTGAAGGGGTGTAAATGAATCGGGTTTGAATGATCAAAGTTGTGTTTATGTACGTTCATATTCGGTTTTTGTTCGTTTAAATTTTTTAATATTATATCCGTGACCGTTTATTTATTTTTAAAAGTATTTGTATTCGGTTTGTTTAGTGTTTGTGAACATGTTAGTTTAATGTCCGTAAACATGTTTAATATTTGTGAACATGTTCTTCAAAATGGTGAAATTATGCCACTAAAGCTCCTTAGGCTTCATATAATCCTTAAGCTCCTTGGGCTTCTTAGTTTAAACTTCAAAATTCTTAACGTGTTTAATTTAGTCTCTATTCTTATCAATATTTAAAATGTAATAAAATAAAAGAAAAAAGAGAACCGAGTAAATGAGTTTATAAATGAATTGATAAACGAGTTTGTAAACGAGTTTGTTCATGAACATAAACAAATCGAACATACATTTGTTTGTGTTCGTTCATTTATTAAATGAACATATTTTTTTATTTATACTCATTTATTTAGTTTAACAAACTAACATAAATAAACATTACACAATCAGTTTATCAATTATTCTATTCATTTACACCCCTCTACACGTGGCAAACGTGTGAGCATCATTTATTTTTGTAAACAAACATTTTATTTTAAATAAAATAAGATTTTAATTTTTAAAAATATATATACTTTTAATCCCCTCTATAAATAAAAAAAAAAACTTTTTATCCATGAACAAAGTCAGGCTCAACCGTGTGCAGCAAGGCACGTTTTAAACTTGGTGAAAAGCACTGAAGCATAATCCAAACGTAACCACCCCATGTTTCCGACATCCAACTGAAAAAAACCGCCCACTTCATAACTTCCCTGTCCCATAACGCAAGTAACTGCCAACACTTCTACATAAACAGGACATCAACCATTTTTACAAATTTTCCCTCTTTCAACTCTCCATTGATGTCTTCTGAAAATGAACGAAATCACCGAATCTGATCCCGGATTTCGATTCCTTTCTTCTGTTACTCAACATAACATCCCGGACTTGCCTTCTTTGCCCAGCAATGTTGTGAGTTACGAACCGAAGCCCCGGAAGAAACGCTCCAAATTGATAAAGATTGGTGTTGGTGGATTCCCGACTAGTTCTAGCACCGTTTCCAGGCCTAAATATGCCAAAAAACCTGACCCTTCTGCACCAAAGATTACACCACCTTGTAGTGAATGTGGGAAGAAGTTTTGGTCATGGAAAGCACTTTTTGGACACATGAGATGTCACCCTGAGCGACAGTGGCGTGGAATTAACCCCCCTCCGAATCATTGCCGTCCTGTCAAACCGACAAATAGTACGGAGGCCTTGATGACGGAGGACGAACACGAAGTTGCAGCATCCTTATTGATGCTGGCTAATAGTGCCCCCGCCAGTGAGAGCAAATGCGGTACAAGTTATAAACCCGGGGTTCAAGAAACCGAAATTTTCCCCATAAACTTCCAGTTCGAATGCTCGAGTTGCAAGAGGGTTTTCGGGTCACGTCAAGCACTGGGAGGGCACAGGGCTAGCCACAAGAACGTCAAGGGTTGTTTCGCGATAACAAGAAGTGACGGCTACGATGACGACGACATGGCTAAAGAAAATGTGGAAGACAATAGTAGGTTGATGATAGTTTGGGGTCACAAATGCAGCGTTTGCTTGAGGGTGTTCTCTAGCGGTCAAGCCTTGGGTGGGCATAAGAGGTGCCATTGGGAGAAAGGGGACGATGAGACATCACTGAACCAAGGGCTCAACCTTTTGGCAGCAAAGCAAGATTGTGGCTTGGACCTGAATTTGCCCGCTCCTGTTGAAAATGATTCATCTCCTTCATATTCTTCGACCTTAGCTTTGGATTTAAGGTTAAGTCTGTAAGGATTAAGCATCTTTGGTAAAGTTTTATGTGACTTGTAACCTAGTATTAGAATTATTCTCTATACTGATATATATATTCATTAGTTTCTGCAACAAAAAAAAACCTTGTATTGCCTGTGCTCGGAAATTTATATGAATTCAAAGCACATAATTGATAATCTGCAACCTGAAGGAAGAACAAATTTGTTTCTTCAAACACAAGTTATTAATCAAACCAGTAACAGGAACATCAATTTTCTTAATGAAATCTCTACCAAATACACATATAATTTCTGGGTTTCTTTTTATCTATCTTTTTTAGAATTAACAATGGAGATTTCGTCACTGATCCACCTGCCCTCTGGGAAATGATAAAATCTGTTGAGTGGAAGTCAATGATTCCAGATTTGTTAATAAATTCTGAATCTAATATTAAAATCTTCCAGGTATCTTTCATTGATCCAAGCAGTAAATAACAATTATTAGAAAGTGTCAGCATGAATGCATTGCATTATCTGGAACAATACAGTCCGTCCCTGTAAACTTCACAGCCCAACATTTTTTTAATAGGGTTGACTTTTTATTAATGGGCCAATGCGTCACGTAATCACCAACTCTCGTATCTATTCTAAACTCAAACTCTCCCTGTGCTCAATAATACACTATAATATGCATGATTAAGGTATATTAAAAGTTTATATATTATATTTAAATGTTTATTTTTACTATAAAATAACATTTTAGTCTTCATATTACAAGTGAACGTGTGTCATGTATTAACTAAAAATAGAAGCATCAACTTAGATCATTTTTATTTACATGCTTTTAAAATGTACATTGAATAAGTTACTCTTATTTTTTCAAGAGGGATCAATTTACTCAATTTTAAAACTGACAAAGACCGAAAGAGTGTTTAAACCAAGAATATTTAAATCAACTATCTATAATTTTAAACTTTTGAACCAAAATATTTATTTACTTTCCATGTATACAATGACTAAAATAAATATTTTTAGGAACAATTTCTACTTAAAAGAAGGAAGAAAGGAAATTTTGCTTGTATTGGACTTACAATTTAGGCGAGAGAAAATATGTCAACTGAGAGCTTTTAACCATTTATTCTATAGATTATTTACTAAAATAAATCTTTTTATATTAGAGGAAGTAGAAGTTTAAAATGTTTTTGTTTATAATGAAATAATTAAACAAAATTTTAAATATAATATATGAACTTTTAATGCTCTTTAATCTAACATGGATTCTTCTAGGAAAGTAAGTTCAAATATATAATTTTTAAATCAAAATCAATTTGATTCAATTTAATTAATTTAACTGATTGAATCAACTAAGGTTAATTTAATGGATTAAAGTATAGGATATAATTTATTAATCGTAGCAACCGAGATCTCTCTTATGAGTACGTAAGCAGAATCCCATTAATTAACATGCCGATTGGTGATTTTAAATTGATTTTTGAAATCTTTACACCACATGTGTAACCCCCTAGACCCGGCCTATGCGTTTCGACTAAGTCTAGTGGATCACATTATGATTATTAAAGACATTTTCCGAAATCGTTATTCTATCAATATAAAATCACATTATAAATAACATGAAATTATAAACAAATTATACTATCAAAATCCAACTCGTAAATATAGTACCAATAAATAATAATTTAATTTAAAACATGTCTTCAAATTCAAAATCACAATAAACCGATCAGTACTAGCAAAAGAGTCATCATTATAAAATCCGATATTTAAAATAAGGTCCATGTCACCAAAATAAAGTCAACTTGCAAGATAAAAACATTACAATCTGATTTACTTCAAGAGATATGTTGATCCTCCAAGTGCTCGAACCGAGGTATCTAACCAACAGTATCTGAAAGGGGGAAAACATTTTCAAAAGGTGAGCTAGGCTCAGTGTGTCCCAACATTTCCATAAAATGTCAATAGGTACAAATCATAGTCCAGTAATCTCACAAATTCGTAAAAGAGTTTAACTTTTGAAAATCATAGTTTAAACTCTTTTCTGGTACACCATCAGTAGTTCTCAAAATTATTTTCCATATAGCTTACTTTATGCACATAGCAAAAAGAAAGCCGACTTAAGGATAAGCTCTGAAGCTTGTATCCTTAAGCCCAAGTCAATAAGTCCATATAGCTTACCCAAAGCACACAGCAAAGGAAAGCCGACCTAATGAAACATCTTGGGGCCCTCAAGAGTCACATTAGGCCCATTTAGCTTGATCAGAGCTATTCCATCGTAATTCAATTCCAAAATTCAATTGCACCGTGACATAAATTCCATAAATCCAAAAACATGGTAATCATATACCATTTCAAAACAAAAATTAGATAGCAGCCATATTCCATAAATTGTCACATTAAATTGGTGCATCCATAAAACAATAACCAATGAATTCAGTATACCATATATTAAAACCAATAAAATAGTTCAGTAATAAGTAGGGAACATACCTCGACAATAGGTTCAAATAGCAAATCTACTGATTGCTAGTTTCACCACGCTCTGCTACAGTTTTCGAACGCGTGAATAATGGCACACGTGGTTTAACTGATCTAGAAGAGCTGGGTCGAGTTGTCGAACGATCCGGAGAGTCTCTTGTACCTTCAAACAATAATAATCTATCAGTCCCAAATCCTATTTAATTGTTCAAAACTAGACTTCTTAAGTATATAAGCATTTTTCGGGTTTGACTATCAATTTGGGGTATTTCGAGTCTGAATTTGGCCAAACGAATTGCGGAATCGGAATCAGGACGTCGAAAAACATAAAGTATGACAGCGGAAACGGATTTGGCACGTCGAAAACTATCAGGATAGTTATACTCGGAAAAGATTAACGGTCGTTTAATGCTCGGTCAAAGCCATTTTAAGTTTTGGTCAAAGAAAGTCAATGGTCAACAGTTAACGGTCAACGGTCAACGGTCCGATCGGGTCGGGTCAACGGTTGGGTCGGGTCGGTCGGGTCAGACCGGTCAAACCGGTTCGAACCGGTTGAAACCGGTCAAACCGGTCAGAACCGGTTGAAAACCGATTAAACCGGTTTCCAGCAGCCACTCGCCCTGCGGCGGCGCGTGTGGCGCGTGAGGCATCCTCTGGGGCCCTAAAAATCCCGAAAAAATTTCTTAAAATTATTTTGAGCGATTTCGAGATACTTACAATGATCGGTTCAAATTTTTGAACGGCGGAGAGCTCGATTTCAAATCGGCTGAATCTTTGACTGCACCACCTCCTCACGCGCCGCCGTCTACGGCGGACAAGGTTGACACCGGTGAACTCGGAACGGCACAAGGAACACGATGGTGCGGGAGGTGTCGTAAACGGAGCAACGATCAGCGGTGAATTTAAGATTTTCTCGGCGATAGAGCTAACAAAACCGTCGCTACTTTGACTGAAAATTCCCGACGTTTGGCCTCGCTTCAATTAATTTGAAGGGTTTGTTCCTCGCTCGATGATGAACACAACGGTGGTTTCAAAACAACGATCGGAATTCGGACGGCGTCGGAATCGAGTTTGGAAGTTGTGTGCGTGAGGAAGGATTTGTGAAATTGATTTCTGTTTTTCAAAACAGAAATCACGCATATAACAATTGCCTGCCGACACTCCAAGGTTAAATTCAGGGCTTGGTCCCTGAATTTTCTTTAACTTTAAAACAAGCTCCAAGTTTTAAAATCTTTCAATTCAGTCCCAAATTTTCGCCAAATTTTCACAATTAAACCCTCTAATTTCAATTAAATATTATTTTGAAAATCGGGTTGTTACAATTCTCCCCCTCTACAAGAAATTTCGTCCTCGAAATTTACCTTATGAGAATAGTTGAGGAAACTGAGCCTCCATTGACTCCAATGTCTCCCAAGTAGCTTCTGAGGGGCCTCGATTACTCCACTGAACTTTGACCATTGGAATTCGCCTATTCCGAAGAACTCGTTCATCTCTCTCTAAGATCTGAATGGGCTCCTCTTCATATGACAAATCAGGTCTCAGCTCTACTTCTTCAACCTGAATAATGTGACCTGGATCTGGACGGTATCTCCTCAACATTGATACATGAAAGACATCATGAATACGACTTAGCTCAGAAGGTAACTCAAGCTGATATACAACAGGTCCTACCCTCTTCAAGATACGAAATGGTCCAATAAATCTTGGACTCAATTTACCCTTACGCCCGAATCTCAATACTTTCTTCCAGGGTGAAACTTTCAAAAAGACCCGATCTCCCACTTCAAACTGTATATCCTTCCTTCTTTGATCTGCATAAGATTTCTGCCTATCAAATGCCTCTTTCAGACGGTCACGGATTAATCTGACTGTGTCCTCCGTCTCTCGCACTAACTCAGGTCCCAACGTTTTCCTATCACGCAACTCAGTCCAATAGATCGGAGTGCGACATTTACGCCCATAGAGCGCTTCATAGGGTGTCATACGAATGCTGGTCTGATAACTGTTATTGTAAGCAAATTCAGCCAACGGCAAAAAGTTCTCCCAACTACCATGAAAATCGATTACGCAACCCCGCAACATATCCTCCAGAATCTGAATTACTCTCTCAGATTGACCATCAGTTTGTGGATGAAATGATGTACTATAATCCAATCTTATTCCCAAAGCCGTATGTAACGCCTTCCAAAATCTCGAAGTAAATCTCGGATCTCGATCATAAATAATAGATAATGGAACACCATGCAGTTTGACAATCTCTGAAATATACAATCTTGCCAGCTTATCCAAAGTATAATTTACTCGCACAGGAATGAAGTGAGCTGACTTTGTAAGTCTGTCAACAATCACCCAAACTGAATCTTTTTTCGAAGGAGTCATAGGCAAGCCAGTAACAAAATCCATAGTAATACGCTCCCATTTCCATTCAGGAATCTTGATAGGCTGTAACAAACCTGATGGATGTTGATGTTCTGCCTTAACTTGCTGACAAGTCAAACACCTAGCCACAAAGTCAGATATGTCTTTCTTCATACCAATCCAATAATA